GCAAGAATCTTAGATCAGCTTTTGACTACCCTGATGTTGTGGATGCAAGAGGGCATGTCTTGGTGTCATGCCAAATAAATCGGGTGGGCATCGCTTGATCAAATATCTTTCAGCCCCGGAAGCTGGTCCGACCCGTGCGCATGTGCTAGTCATGTCTCTTGCATTGTCATTGCTGTTATGACTCTCGAGCGTGCAACTTGCGGAACAATTGTTCCCACACAATTTCCTTCCCACTCTCCCACCCGCTACCTCAACTCACGTTTCTGGCGCACACATGACGTTGTATTTCTCGCTCACTGACATGTTTCGGTTGCATATATGGCATCGGGCGTGTTCTTTATCTCTTGCCAATATGTGCTTGCCATGCCTACATGATGCCAAATCGCCATTGGGGTTATACACCCGGTTTTTCCCTCACTACTGCGTCCGTCGGCGCGAGGGTTTTTTCCCGGCTGGCTTGGTCCAGGAAAATTAATCTGACGGTCCCAAGTGGTTCTGCATCATGGCCTATTTCTGTTATCCGCATGCACATCTTTCCCATTTGAGACACACTCTGTTCTCAGTGCTTGCTTTCATGCCTCACTCGTGCTTCGGTTCACATCTGGCTGCGGCCAACTACCCTTCAATTTGTGTGTTGTCACTATTGCTGTTTATAATCTGCGTGTACCAGTATATATGTGGCGCGAGAATGTATTCTAACAATCCATGAGAATATTATGCTCTCAACTGTCATGCATACCTTTATATTTAGCATTAGGTGGCTCTACCCAGAGTCATTGGCGGCTCCATGCGGAGTCATTTGCCGGCTCCATGCGGAGTCATTTGCCGGCTCCATGTGGAATCATTTGCCGGCTCCATGCGGAGTCATTTGCCGGCTCCATGCGGAGTCATTTGCCGGCTCCATGCGGAGTCATTTGCCGGCCCCATGCGGAGTCTTGTGCCGGCTCCATGTGGAGTCATTTGCCGGCTCCATGCGGAGTCATTTGCCAGCTCAGCTCTAGCGGTCCCGAGCAGAGCTATCATACTAGTTGCCCGAATCGGCGCTCCCATGGAATGGCATTGCCCTAATCAGAGACATCAGTTGGTCCAAGTCCCCCAGCCTTCAGCTCTTCACTGACACGCCTGGCGTCGGTTTCGGCGGGCTTTACAACACAGCACGGTTCTATGGCACATGGTCAGCAGACCAGTCGGATGGCCTATTTCGCAGCATTATCTGGCGGGAACTCTACCCAATTGCCATTGCGCTCTCTTTATGGGGAGAACAATGGACGCATCATGCTGCCCAACGCCAACAAACAGTCTACTTCAATAGAGCACATCATCTCCGTCAGACGCTACTGATAAAGGCCGGCGACCTAATTAGGGACTCAGTAGCCCCAAGTTCTGCCCGCACATACCCACTGGGGACTGGGGCGTATCTGAAGCTGTGTACACAACTGGGATACCAGCCGAGTAGGCCGTCGGTAAATGACTTGCTTGCATGCATCACCCACTGCGTATCCGGTCACAGACCTAGCGCAACCATCCGAGTATATGTATCCGCCTTGAGGTATTACCTCCTCTGCATGGTGGGCCGTCACACACAACTCAGCACGATAGAGTTACAGCAGCCCTGAAGGGAGCGGAGCGTCAGAAATGACAGCACCGCCAGCAAGCAGCACCGACACTAGGCTATCACCCAATCAGACCTGCAGCAGCTGTTGACCATGATCCAGCGCTCCCACTACTGCGAATCGGACAGGTGCATGCTCTGGTCCGCCTTCATGACAGCCTTTGCGGGATTGCTCAGAGTGAGCGAGGATACTGCCGCCTCTCCCCGCTCCGCTTCGAATGGCCGCACTCTGACCCTGGGTCAAGTCTCACTCACTGGGACTCAGATCAGCATACGACTCGGGATAACGAAGACCTCCCAACGTGGCACTGGAGGCCAAGTCATCATGCAGCCATGGTCCGGCAGCCAGCTCTGCCCTGTCCAAGCAATGCGCAAGTACCACGCTATTCACCACGCAATGCCAACAACGTCACCGCTGTTCATATTCCGAAGTGGGCAATATCTCACAGCCAAAGATGTGAACTACTGGATGACGAGAGCCCTAGGTCCGGGTGTTAGCAGTCACTCCCTCAGGATCGGCGGGGCTACTGCAATGGCCGGAAGGAATGCCTCAGCTTGGCAGCTCCAGAAAGCCGGCCGCTGGGCTAGTGACACGTACAAAACGTACTTCCGTGTGCCGGCTGGCCTGCCTCTTGGCCAGCAATGAGCCGGCTACGCTGCCATGTGTGCATGCGCGTGCTGCTGGGCACTGTTTTTGTATCAATCCTGCCCAAAATACTCTAAGCACTCTGCACCCCCTTATGTAGGAATATGACCTCTCAGCAGCTTGCCCGATTAAGGATCTCTGCTCCAGCCTGGACCACATACTCAAACTCTTTAACGCATTGTGTTGCGCACTGTCACTGCTAAGCTTATCTGCATGCATGTAGCGCAGCGTTTACTCAACCGCGGAAAGAAAGCAAGAAAGGAAATATGGCTAAGAGCAGTGTGTATAAGCGGGGTTGCCACTAACCACTGACTCTTCTTGGGGAAGCAAGCAAAGCCCCTCAGCTAAATGCATTTTGGAACAATTCTCTGCATGAGCTTTCAAGCACTGGCGGCACTCGCTGCCCAGCAGCAGGACCACATGGTCCCAGCAGGACCAGCTGGTCCCAGCATAGACACATTGTCATTGCTTCGAGCAGCCGGGCCAATTGGCCCCAGCATACAGCAGGACAGTCCGGTCCCAGCAGTCATTTGACTACCTGCGCACAGCCGTGCCCCACAGCATTAGTTAGGACCACATGGTCCCAGCAGACACATTGTGGCCAGCAGCCGGGGCCAATTGGCCCCAGCCGCAGCAGCTCGGCAACCTCAACTTCCACTTGCTTGATGTACGTGTGGGTGATACAGGGGCATAGGAAGCAGTTTAATATTGGTGCGGCGAAATTGTGGGAGGGGGGTCCGGGGGTCCTCCCCTGGGATTTTTTTGAAAATTGGGCCTAAAAGGCCATATTACAGGATAATATGAGAAATAAGAATATGCATGCTGATAATACACCGCATTGTCGATGTAAAACATGGTACCTGTACAAGAGTCGACAAGCCATCAACAAGGTTGAAATGTAAAAAAAAAAAAATCGAAAATTATTATTGGTCCGGCGACCGCCGGGCCTGCCGGACCGGTTCCTACGCCCATGTGATAATGGTAGTTTTGCCTTCTCGCCCATTCAACGTGTGATGTATTGTAAGTAGTTGATACTACAGTGCTGGCAACTGAATTCCGACCCCCTTGCCGGCGCGCCGCGCCGGCAAGGGGGTCGGAATTCAGTTGCCAGCACTGTAGTACTTCAAAGTACAAGTACTTTACGTCAAATTGAAAATGTTTTTGTGATAATAATCATGTCATCTAGCCAGAGTAGTACACTGTTGGATGTAGCTCACAGAGGAAGTACATCTAGCTCACAGAGGAAGTACATTCTGTCCTCCAAAGGGAGAGGAATGTTTGGGATTGGGTACTTCAAGGCCTCATGGTTGCTCCTACAGAACAGGTCCTACATTGATGATTCCCTCCACTTGGTAAATCATGGCAAATTCTTGAACTTAAATAGCGTAAATCATGGTAAATTCTTGAATTTAAATAGCGTAAATCATGGTAAATTCTTGAATTTAAATAGCGTACTAAAAATCAATATTATATACCTACATACTCTTGCTTCTGGCATGGAGAAATAGAATCAGGTAATAGAGGAAGCAAGTGCAAAGGATGGTGGTAGCTTCACAAACAGGATAGTAGCAGAGGGCTGCTACTTTTCTGTTTTGTAAACATCAGAAGCAGTGTCTGAGGTGTTGGCAGCGAGGCAGGGGGCAGTGACCCCTTTAGAAGCCGTAGCATTTTTAGGATTTCAAGGGCCCGAAACAACAGATTACACTTTCGTGAACAATCGTTTTCAGTCGGTTTGTCGGAACAACTGACCGGAATGTTCCCGGCAAATCGGAATAGAACAAGGCAAGGCCCTAACAATATGGATAATCCTCTGTTCAGGCACATGCAAGTACATGTAACATGGTAAACAATGATCGACTACGGTGACAGCGAGTGGAAAGCAAAAAATCCGTTAGAAAAATCTGACTAGTAATTGTGCCACCAAAAATCGCGTTCAGAAGTCTGGTTTATGAACATCACCATTTCTTCTTTCAGAGTTTGGGCACAACGCAGTTTTCTAAATATCAAATTCAATCACATCTCAATAAATACTCACTCAAGGCCTTTCAAATGGCCCGTCATTTGCGTAAATCGGACAATCGGTTCCAAAAATATAGTACTTTTAGTGGCATGGGTACATCAAGTTGGCTTATGTCGAAAATTTTGAGGGGGGGGGGGAGGGTGCTTGAGCACCCAAAGCACCCCCCCCCCCCCTGGGTACGCCACTGCATGCAGAATGAACGGATGGCTCACACCACTATGACTGGATTGGAGCGCTAGTCCTCATTCAGAACATCAGACACAAGCGGCGGTGTTGCGCAACGGGTCTAGAGTGAAAGACTTTTCATGGCTTATTTATGTTGTTCTTTAGTTTTATTGTGTAGTGGTTTAGTCTTGACTTTGTTGCATTGTTTTGGTTGCATGTGCAGTCTTCTGTACATGTATACACCATGCAACGCTTACGTCATCGTCGCGCTTGCAACATTATTTCGTGCGCATGCTCATTATATACTGCCGCAACGTTTGTCCTTTTCTTTAGTTATCAGTTTTGCCTCGTCGTGTCCAGTCTTCTCGTCTGTCCGTCTTCGTCTTGTCAAGATATTATGTAGAACTTTTAGTTCAGTTGCGCTGTTGTGTGTGGCGAGTCGGATGGGCGGGGAGGCTGGGCCCCTGACGCCTGGAGAAGATGTGCTGGTGCACGAAAGGCGGTAAAAGCCAAGAACCATAGAAACGTGTGAATCAAACACGGAGCAGGGTGGCACATGAAGTATGAACGACGGGTGGCTCGCATATTGTTTCAGGAAATGAAGAAATCGGGACTGAGCATGAAAACAGATATCAGCTTGACAGTTACTGGAGATGCTGGCAGCGGATGAGCTGCACAACCTATGGCAGGAACACATAGACGATGGCGAGGAGTTGCGGAAGCTCTTGGTTGACTGACTGCTAGTGATCTAAACCCTAATGGTCAGGGTACGCAGAGTGCAAGAACGCCAAGAATTGCTTGACAGAGTTGAGCGCTACACCGTGGAGGCAATCGTCTCCAGTGGGTGTTGCCATCGCCTCCCACTTGAAGAATGCTTTCGCATCGGATGCATCTCCAGAGTAAAACGCATCAAATAAGGACTGGAGCATACCTGTGGTGCATATGCACAACATGCACACACACACACACACACGCACGCACGCACACGCACACACACACACACACACCAACAGCAGCAGCAACAGCAGCAGCATCAGCATCATCAGCAAAGGGACATGACATATGAGAACAGCACTATTGTGATACCTACTGTAATACCAGATGCTATTAGATACAGGTTTGGAAACGGAAAACGAAAGTTCCGATCGTCTAGCTTTGCAGGGGTACATGACCACGAGTGTGCAAGTCCGCAATCTCTCACACCACGGCAGAATTTTAATGATATCACAGTTTTCGCGGACATATGGCTCATTGACACCATCACGAGTAGCCAGGGATGCAACGTGCAAGGAATTCGCACATCACAGCTATGGAAATCGAAGCAGAACAACGGATGGAAGATCCATGCGTCCTAAAAGCTGGTGAGCCGACACCGTATATCGGATGTTCATTAGAAGCACAGAAAGGGGAGTACGAACCTGATCATACTTTCGCGTTTGCGATGGGTGCGAAGCGGCAAATGAAGCTTGTGCATAATGTACAACTGTTGCAATAAAACTACTAAAATAACTATAATCGCAAACATGTCCAGGTGCAAATTTGTCTGTGCAAGCAAATAATTGCGCACTAAAAGCGGCGCAAACGTTTACCGGTGTACAGTACTCTGCCCGAGCAGGATTTCCTGATTGCATGGTAGCAAGAAGCTCAAGAGTAGAGATGAACCGATTGTCTTCAACTGAACTCAGTGTGTAGATGTGTTGGGATGTAGTACATGCACTGGTCCATGAGGTTCTTGCTTCTATCGACTGGTCGGACTACTTATCAATTTCACTTACCTGCAACGGTGCAGTATTCACTTACTTCAATATGAATATGGCAACAGGCGACTGGCATATGCCCCCCCCCCCCCCCCCCAAGAACCAAGAGAAAACAAAATAAATAGCGACATCATCACTCACCGGGATGGTGATCGTACTGAGCAGCGACTTTCTCCAGGCCCAGGATGACAGCGTACCGGAGATCGGGGTCATGCTCAAAGTATCTGGAAATGCCGAGTATGAGCAAGGTTTCACATTTGGCATTCGCAAACTCTCGAGTGGTTGGGTCTAGAACGACAATGAGCAGAAATGTACCATAGTTAACACAGCAAAACCTGCCATTAACAGACGCCACTTCACACTTCCCTCATATGGCAGGACGCCGCTTGATCCCGGAAATCACATTCGATCCACAACATGCATATGAAATTGATAACTGCGACGTCATCACCAAAGTGTGTGTGTGTGTGTGTGTGTGTGTGTGTGTGTGTGTGTTGTGTGTGTGTGTGTTGTGTGTGTGTGTGTGTGTGCGCGTGTGCGTGTGTGCGTGTACTTGGGATCATTTTCAAGTCCACCCATAGTTTGGGGATTTCAGGGGGTGTCGGCCGTTGGGCGGTTCAATAGCCAATCGAGTCCTCTTTCCAAGATTCCTTTTGAGTTCCTCTCTTCCCTCTCCCGGGGAGACCCATGTGACCAATTTGGGCAGTGAGCAAGTACAGTACAGTACAGTACAGTACACTACAGTGTGTGTGTGTGTGTGAAAAAAATTTCGCGTAGAGGAAGCAGATTTGTTAGCTCCTGGTTTTCTCTTTGTTGGCCTCCTCCACGGGGCGGCCTTGGCCTTCTGGTCAGAGTCGTCCCTGGGTATTGACTGGCAGTAGGCTTTTCATGCCTTGCAGCCGGTTTCGCTCGCGCGGAGGGACATTCAGTGAGCTGACGACCAGGGCGGGTAATTTGTTGCCGTCACCGTCTTCTTGCGTCCTTTCCGCATCCTCCGCAGTGGCGTGGCGAGCCCTCGGATCAATCCCCAGCCTGTAACAATGCAGTGGCGTTCGGCAAAACAAGTGGATTCCTGGATGAGAAAGGATACAGGTCACACTCGCAACAATTTATTCCTGCGAGGTGATACCTGGAATTGTGAACTTGTCGTGTTGTTTGGACCTGAGTGGCCAGTCGTCGTGCGGCGATGGTGTAGTGATGTTAACTTGCTGCGCATACTTCTCGTCGTTTCGTGAAAGGACGTCTTGTGGAGCCCTTGTGGGACGTTCGGTGCCCACCCTCCAGCTCAAGATTGTGCTTTCCTGGTGCATGAAGGCCGAAGCAGTACGCGTACAGACGTTATTGTTGAACAGAACATCATGTTCACATTAATTTTGTTCCTTTTTCAGTCGTTGCATGTTATACTTATAGTGGACCTACAGCAGACTGTTCATCTGGTTTGTGATATTTCCTTCCTCTGTTTGTGAGTCCCTTTCCATCAATATGGCAGCTTGTTTTGATTTCCTTTTTTCAATTCATTTTGCTGTACTTCCTGTTTTGTTTGCGCCACTGCCCCTCACCTTGCGCTCAGTTCTCTGAGTGGAGGGCGGCGTGACCCCAAGGGGTAGCTGATTGATAGCAGTAGTAGTAGTAGTAGTAGTAGTAGTAGTAGTCGTAGTCGTAGTAGTAGTAGTGGTAGTGGTAGTGGTAGTGGTAGTGGTAAGGCAAGCTTGCTGTCGCGTCAGGAAGTCATCAGCCAGCTCCGAACGCATGAACGGATGAAGAAGCGCCAGTACGGAGAGCGGGTGACAGCAGTTGACAGAGGTACGTTTACACCTCTAGTTTTTTCTACCTCAGGCATGATTGGCAGAGAATGTTCAATGGCACTGAAGACACTGGCATGCCTGATTGCAGAGAAGAACGTCGACCTACACGTATCGGTTATCATGGGTCAGCTCCGTTGTAAGCTGTCAGTCTGCCTTATGCGATGGGCAGTCACCTGTTTGCGTGGTTCAAGATCGTCATACCGCCGCAACAGGATGAATTTCACGACGATGTGCAGGTTGCGGGCAGCCTGAGCGTGATAGTACCTCACAGACATTTGCCCAACATTGTCCCATGATAATGAATTCTTGAGTTTTTGGACATTGTATTGCATTGCTGCTCCATCTACATGGCTGTATTTGTGTTTCACATCTCCATTTCAAGTTTCCTAATAAAGATTGTGTCAAGTAGTAGTAGTAGTAGTAGTAGTAGTAGTAGTAGTAGTAGTAGTAGTAGTAGTAGTAGTAGTAGTAGTAGTAGTAGTAGTAGTAGTAGTAGTAGTAGTAGTCCCCCCAGGTGGGGCGGTCGGAGTCGGGACCTGGCAGCAATCGTTCTGGTGGTCGGAGTAGTTGCGGGCCCTGGTCTGTCGGGGACAAGCGGGAGTACGACATTGTCAGGACATTGTTTGACGAAGTTGTTCACTGGAAACGAAACATATTTATGCTTCCACTTGGATCTGCAGGGCGCGAGTTTGTCATGGAGATAGCCAATATTATATCATTCTTCAACTTGGATACACCCTTGAGTGGCATAGCCTGGACAGTACTCACTATTGCCTGCCATTTGCTCCTCCAAAAGCCTCTCGGATCGTCTCGAGGTGGGGAGAACGCTACCATCCTGCGGTCCAGGCTCGAGTTGTGGAAAGCAGGGAAATTGGAGGACCTACTCCTTGACGCCAGGTGTATCCAGGCTCATCTCCGGCCACGACGGGTCACCAGCGCACGCTCCGAGCGGGGTCATACCGACACTGACTTCAGCCGACACGTGTTCAGCGGCAACATCAACTCCGCCATCCGCTGCCTGTCGGAATCTAAGAGTCCGGGTGTTTTGAGACTTGACGACATCGCCGATCCGGCCACGGGGGAAACGGTCGACGATATCCTGCGGCAGAAACATCCAGCTGGGGCAGATCCGGACCCTGATGTGCTCCTGGAAGGCGAGCCCGAGCCCGTCCGTACCGTGCTATTCGCGGCCATCACCGCTGATTTAATCAAGAAGATTGCTCGCTCGATCAAGGGCTCGTCGGGTCCATCCGGGGTGGACGCTGATGGATGGCGAGCGATGCTGACCTGCTACGCGGCTGCCTCTGACCAGCTGTGTAGTGTACTTGCAGAAGCCGCACGCAGGATGTGCACGGACAGTGTCGGCGGGAGGGATCTCGAGGCGTTCACTGCAGCCCGGTTGATTGCCCTCGACAAGCGTCCTGGTGTGCGTCCCATTGCGGTCGGCGAGGTCCATCGCCGCATCATCGCCAGGGCAGTCATGCGAGTGGTGGAGAGCGATGTTATGGACGTTGTTGCACCTTCCCAATTATGCGTTGGAATCCCATCCGCCTGCGAGACTTGTGTCCACGCTATGCGTGAAGGGTTCAATAACCCCAGCACGGAAGGAATCCTGTTAGTTGACGCATCAAATGCGTTCAATTCCGTCAATCGTAAGGCTGCACTCCACAACATTCGGCGTCTTTGCCCAGCACTGGCAACGTTCGCTAGCAATACCCATACGGATCGCGTGCGTTTGTTCGTGACCGGCTCTGGCGAACTACATTCAACAGAGGGCACATGTCAGGGTGACCCTCTCGCCATGGCCATTTACGCCCTGGCCATTACCCCGCTTGTCCGCCGCCTGGCTCATCTGCACCCAGACACCTTCCAGTTGTGGTATGCAGATGATGATGCTGCCCTTGGGAGGCTGCTTCGTCTTCGCGGCTACTGGGACACGATCGCAGCTCTCGGACCACGCTATGGCTACAATCCAAATGCTCAAAAGACTGTGCTGGTGGTCAAGAATCATCTGTTGGAGCAAGCCAATACCGTGTTTGATGGCACGGGTGTCATAATCACTGGTGAGGGGTCCAAGTACCTGGGTGCACCGATCGGAACACCTGAGTACTGCAGCCAACACCTGGCTGCGGAGGTCGGTCGCTTTTCCCGCCAGGTCCGCCGGTGTGGTGATTTTGCGGAGACCCAGCCACATGCTGCGTATACAGCCGCAGTGAGAGGGCTGGTCCCCAAGTAGAGATATCTCATGCGTGCTTCGCTCTGCTCCGGCGAAACCATGGCGCCTCTCGACAGTGCAGTGGATAATCATCTTTTGCCTCCGCTGTTGGGTCAGCCAATTGCCTCCGGGAGCGCCTTGCGCAGATTGATGTCGGCACCTTCCAAGTGTGGCGGCATAGCCATCCCGATGTTGGCGGACACTGCCACGATAATGTACAACGATACAGTTAAGACGACTCGGCCAGTGCGGGGGCTATACAGGTTCCCGGACGTGCCTGAGACTGGTCGTGTGGGATCAGCTGCTGATGGCGGGGCGGATGGTGGTGGTTCGTCTGGCCTACGGGAGATGGCGGAGGCGCTCCAGGAGGCGGAAGGCGCACGGCGGGCTGCTGCACAATCAAGGCGTCGGGCTGGCAAAGCATCTTTGGCCAGTCTGCACGATCACCTATCCGCCACACAGCAGCTTTTGACGGACGTTGCCGGCTCTGCCGGTGTGTCTTCCTGGCTTACGGCGGAGCCTCGTCTGGCGCACGGCACCGTCTTGAATGCCAGTGACTTCCGTGATGCACTTGCTCTACGGTATGGCCTGCAGCTCCCTGGGCTACCGTCCACTTGTGTCTGTGGTGATGCCTCCACGATGGACCATTTGCTAACCTGCCCCGCCGGCGGGTATCCATCTGCCCGGCACGATAATGTGCGTGACATCCTGGCGGAGACGCTCTCCGAAGCTGTTCGCGATGTCGAGACAGAGCCACGTCTCCGGCCGCTGTCTGGCGAGGATCTGCCCTATGCGACGGCTAACCGGACTGATGAGGCTCGGCTGGACATTCGTGCCCGGGGCTTCTGGACAAGGCAGCAAGACGCTTATTTTGATGTTAGGGTAACCCACCCTAAGGCGTCTGTGCTGTCTGGTCCAGAAGTCCTTAACCAACTCAGGGCCCATGAACGGCAAAAGAAGCAGCAGTACGGTGCCAGGGTCACTGAAGTCGAGAGAGGCTCTTTCACCCCTCTTGTGTTCGCCACGAATGGGATGGCGGGGCCGGAGTGCTCACGATTCCTGGCGACACTTGCCGGTCGGCTCGCGGAGCGCAATAAAGACATCCGGTATTCAAGCATCGTCAGTGCATTGCGTGTTCGGCTGGCATTCTGCCTCGTACGGTGGGCAATAACCTGCTTTCGCGGTTGCCGATCATCCTACCAGCGTCGCGTCCGCTCGTCGTTGTTGGTGCAGTGTCGACAGGCTGCCGGCTGAGATTCAGTGTCCATGCGTCAATCTGGACAATATAACAATAGCTCAAAGACCTTAACAATTGATTACTTCTCTTGACATACTAGTGCATTCTCTTTCTTTCTCTCTTTCGTTCTTACTCACTCTTTTCCATCACTTGTGTGCTTACCATGGTATTTTTTGCCCGTAAAAGTGGTTTGGTCAGTAGTAGTAGTAGTAGTAGTAGTAGTAGTGTGTGTGTGTGTGTGTGTGTGTGTGTGTGTGTGTGTGTGTGTGTGTGTGTGTGTGTGCAGGAAGAGCAAACTGCACGTTCACATTATTTGAACAAAATAATCAATTGCAATTTCAAATTTCGACTTCACGGAAAATTTCAAAGTTTTAGGACATTAAAGGCCACATGCCACGTACTGCTCTTTTCTCTCCGAAACTCAACACTTGCAAGCCAGATATGAAAGAAAGAAAAAAATCATCAGTCACACCACCGGGACTCGAACCAGCGAATGGCCGAGGGCCCTCTTGATTGGTGTGAGTTGCCAGAATGATGCAAGCCAGATATGGATTGATCGAAGAAGGATAGATTTACCATCACCGTGGATAAGAGTCATACTGTAGCTCAGTTGGTTAGAGCATTGCTCGCGAATAGCAAGGTCCCTGGTTCGAGTCCCGGTGGTGTGACTGATGATTTTTTCATTCTTTCATATCTGGCTTGCAAGTGTTGAGTTTCGGAGAGAAAAGAGCAGTATGTGGCATGTGGCCTCTAATTTCCTAAAATAATCAATTACTTGCCCATTTTTTTGGAAAAATTATTGTACTCCGGATAAATGAAAGGACTCGTTCCCAAGCATGTGCTCTTGAGTTCTTGTTATTATGTCCCTCCTAGCATCCTCACGTTTACGCTCAGTGCTTTTTCTCTTGGTGTGCAAAAGAAAAGAACCCACCCACACACACACACCCACACACACAATAAGACTTACCAATGAAAGCACAGGCAATTCTGGATGCACAATCTTCAGCAAAGGAAGCAGTGGTTGTATCCTGGTAGGTGCGCTGAATGCATAGAAAGTTAAAACAAGACAAATCCAAGGTATGTGTCAGTGGAACATGTACACCCACATACCCACTTCTCAGTTCCTTACAACACTGAAAAGTCATGCACCCTGGGCGTGGATTTTACCGGGACCTGCAAGCAAACCTGACTCACGTCAATCCAATCCTTGACATCACGTCCGCGAGGTCGGTTATAACTGTCTTCCTGGAAATCTGGAAGGGACGGGCAGTCCAGAAACTGCACACCTTGGTCAGCAAGGAACTGATCAACATTCTGTCCATCTTGCAATAGTGAGCTCCACTTGAGATAGGCTGTTCCACACAATTGACGGGCGACAAACTCTCCCTGGAACAAACGGACAGTAAAAAAGGGTACTTAGTTACCAACATCCATCATTGTGCAAACTTGGCTCATTGACCCCCTCCCCCATGTGCCTATTTCAGGACCAGCAGCAGCATAATAAAAAAGAAATGACCCAGCAATAGCAGCATGAAAACGGGGTGAAATACGACATAGCTGCAGCAGAGAACACAAGGTTTGATCTGCACCATTGCCACTTTGCAGTTCTGGACCTACACACACACACACCACACACACACACACACACACACACACACACGCACGCACGCACGCACAGCGTTACGAAAGCAACAGAAAACTCGTTTGTGATAATTATGTACATACCTTTTTCTCGGCAATAGCCTTCAACACTTTCACCATGAAGACGGCTGCTTTCCCGACATCTCGGAGATGCTTGACGACTAGCTCTGATAGTGTGAAAATTTTTAACTTGCAGTTGAAAACGAGCGGAACAATGACAATCACCAGTAGATCATAGATATGCGGAATATCTAACGCCAAGTCTGGTGTCTCCTCCAGAACTCGATACAGTCTGTGGTAAGAGAACACAGAGCACAAACACACAGCGACTCAATCATTCCGGCAACAAAACGCAGCTGACAGTTTAGCACTATGATGAAAACAATTAAAGATAAACCTGAGTACTACAATGTAAAGTCCATTCGCCAATTCGGACCCATCAGTTTTCACAGTCTCACTTCATTCTTATTCAAGATGGTGAAGTCGGTGACTTATATAGGTCAGACATATGATAGCCGTTGTTTTTTTAAAGCCTAAGATGAAGTGCATGAATCCTGATTGTACACACTCAGACTGCATCACTGTAAAGATGTGATACAGGAATTTTGCCATGACAGCAGCCCATTTGAGTTGAACATTCTTGGTTTCATGTACAGTAAAACTGTCAAGGCGACCACTCGGATAAGGCGACCACCTGTCCCAAAGGCCACTGTAACCAGGACCAAGGGATGCGATTTCCAGTCAAATGACCCTGGATAAGGAGACCACTTGGTAACAGACCACATTTTGAATGTCCCGCGAACGGTGGGTCGTCTTAGACAGGTTTCAGTGCACTATACTTCATACTGCACAGTGCCACATGTGCAAACGCATCAGAAGTCTTTGCAAGAAATAGGATTGTAGTCCACATCAAAGGCACACTGTGCCTCGACACAAACTGCAAATAAAAGTGCACTCTGACTCCAGATCATACTAAAAAGAAAACTTTATCCGCGCAATGAATAGAATGAGTTACGCACTCAGTAGAGATGATCTGATGAGTTGGCCTAGAGTACGTTTAAGGAATATCCATGTACATGACAAGTGGTTTTGCTCATGGTGTTTGTACTGAGTGCGCAACTAACTCTATTCATTGCGTCTACTAGTATGTCCTTCTTATCGTCACGGAAACTTAATAAATTTATCATTAAATTCACTAATTTTACCCAGCCACTATGCACTCCAGCTTGATCGTGCCGTCAGGGACCAGTTCAGTGAATAGATCGGCAACTAGCTTGCACTGTTTGTCCTTCATCTCCAATGCACAGGTGATCATCGTAGAGACAATGGCTGGGTGACTTATGGGCGAATTGATGTCTGCTACACAAAGCCGAACCTCCTGAAAAGAGAGTGCAGCCAAAAAACAACAACACAAGAATAGGGCTGATGATGTCACAGATCCTTCGATACGCATAGAAACGATCCCACTGGGGACAAACAAAAGTAGCGTCCTCTCCACCGAACCAGTTGTCAGTGGCAACACATAAGAATTGTGTATTTGTCTTCTGTTTTTGACACGTTCAGCTGAATTTTATTTTTTCCACACGTGTAGCGTGAGGTTCTCGATCTATGCTTTAGGCTAGTTTAGCTGTATATAAGTTGCTGTATTTGGACATTTTTCCATTATTCCCTGTACTTATGCATGATGAGAAGGGAACAAAAACGATCGGTTACTAAATTGGCTTTACTTGACTATGTGGATTGTGTCGGTACTGACACCTTTCGCTTCGAAATTGGATATGCCTCCAACTTTTTCCTTGTATTTGTCTTTGTTTCTTCTTTGCTGTTTTCAGTGAGTGCACTGTTTTTCTCCTTGATGTCAACGATGTTGTCGTGCTCATTACCTTACAGAGATGTCTCTTGTGACTGTAGCCAGTGTCACGGAGGATTTTATTGGCGGGACGAGGTAGATCGCCGAGATCGAGCGTGAAAAACGCTCTGCATTAGCAGCTCCTGTAGAATGTTTTCTGCGATGGCGCATCCATGGTCAACAAAGCCAAGGTGCAAGGCAGCATGGGAGATCGCGTAAACGATGTGAACTCCAAACGGTAAGCTCCTGAACAAGTGGAAAAATATGTATATTTACAAACTCTCTCTTCATCCATCGATTGCCGCTACGCATTGCATGTTGTCTTCACAGATAATCTGGACAAATAAATTGTAACTGGAGAGTTCAATCGCGCTTGGGAACTGTCCCAATGTCATCACATGGCTGTGGTGACTAGTGTACACCTGGGAGAATATTTTCCTCGACTGATACCGGAGTGCAGGTGGATCGATCATAAGAAATACGAAAATGAGAAGTAAGTTGTGTAGAAGAAATGCGTAATAAAATGAAATTTACTTCGCACTCAAACATACCTTGTACATGCACATGTAACATCATGATACTGATTCCATCAAAATATACACGGAAACAACGGCGTGGAGTGGTCGCGATTTTTTTCCTTCAAGACCGCTTTTTGTGCATGCCAGGGATTTCTCTTTTGCCCAGCGCATGTGTTATGGACATCAAATGAAGAGCGTGGATCTGAGCATAGGAGAGCAGTTTGAATCGTGAAAATCGATTGAATAGGAGCAAGGAGTCGAAAAGGGACGTGTGACTGAGTTGTTGTTTCGTTCCGAGGTATAGTGGGCCAGTTTGGTGAGGTCGTGGAAGTGGCCGTGGTGGGGCTATAGGGCTTGAAAGTGATGACGTCAAAAACGGCCAGGGAGTAGTAAGTTGACATCAGATTTCTATATTTGATCCACTAAGGTGTGACTTTGCTATTGCCTCAGTATGTGGGTGCATAGCAACCTACTCATGCCGTATGCATGTGGGACTTTTACTTCGCCACCAGGTGTCACCCCGCCCTTATTAGCCAAATCAGTCAGTTTCACTGGCTACATCACCTTGCTGTGAGTAAAACCACTTGAAATGTGCTTGGATCCATACAAATTTTTGAAATTGTTGCTATGCTGTGACGTAGCACTTTCAAGCCCTAGTGAGCTGAGAGTTTCCAGGATGGATTCGCTTGGTCCTGATCTTTCCAACAAGCCCAGGATGATGAAATTCCATCCAGGTGACCTGAAATGAGAATAAATTTCGTTTTGGAGCAGTGTGCCCAAACTCCACCAGGAGAATACGTGCGCTGGAGTGCCAGTTTATTGGGGAAAGTAGGCCAGTATGGAAAGGGCTAATTGACCAAAACAGCACCTATGGATGCACAACAGGGCAGTGTACATGTAACACCCCTATGAACAAAAGGTGTACTTACGCCAGCGTCGGGATTGCTAAAGAAATCTTCAGTGAGAACTCGCGCCTTCTTCTCGACCTCTGCCACTGCAGGTGCAGTATCACTATTCATTGCTGCGGCAGCAGCTTGTGAAACTGCTAAGGCACCTCCAGGCATACTGAGAGACCGATCGATATCTGGAATATCTTTGCGAACGTCACGAGGACCTGGTGGCGGCTTGTTATCTTCCCTGCAATACGCCCTGAGACGCTACGGCATAGACAAGCAAAACAAAAGAGGCAGCAACAGAGAGGTTCTAATTTTTGGTCTGCGAACTGTTCTGCAACGCGATAACAATGCTCAGTTTTGTTCTTATCGGGCTTAACCTTATAGACTCTCAAAACGGAGTAGCAGTTCGAAATGAGTGAAGTGTATTAGGAATGCAGACTCTCGCCAGGTGTCCTGCAATAGGCATTCTGTAAAACCAAGAATCCATCCACAAGAGTATGGGTCAGCAGTGAGGCACGCTGCTGCTGCTGCTGCCGCCGCTGCCTCCATCACACCATGCAGCGTCATCATCAGCCAAAGAGTCTGGTAAGAAACCAGAGCACACCTCACATCTAGGTGAAACTGCTTGCTATAGTCTAGGTATTAAAGTGGGGACGGACACTAATGTGTGTGCACAGACGTAGCTGCACGCCTCATAGAGGCGTGCAGGGATTTGTCGTGCAAGCATTTCTGTAGCGACAAACTGAACATGAAAGCAAGCGCCGTAGAATCAAGCAAATGCTTCCCCCTTGTTCATCGCCCTAGAACTACAAGCTGATCATCTCCTCCCACAAAATTGGTGCACAGACCAACATGTATTTTCCTAACTGTTCGTGAACTCAAACGCAGCGTATTGGAAAAGCAAGGATTTATACAGGACCTAAAAATAAATAAAAGAAATTAAAGAAATATCACAACGGAGAGTCCTTTGACAACATGAATCCTGATACAGGAGCAATCATCATCTCACATCACAATTGAACCAGTAACCTGAGGCGCCACACTGATATCAGATAGGCTCGCAGTTCAAATCAAAGAACTGCGTTCCCGTATGCGTATAAGCAAGAAGAAATAAAGGAAAGAGAGATAGATAGACAGGTAGACACGTTCAGCGAGAGAACATTATATCGCACACGGAACATACCTTCAATTTTGAGACCAGCTCCTCGAGCAAGATTCGTGTCCTCGTGGACACGCCCTTTATTCCAGGTTTCTTCTTGATAATTCGTCCAATCTTGTGGACGTATTCAGGAATGCGAGTCTATGGAGGAGAGCAACAGCACACAACACAGTGAGCGTGGAGTTGTATCAAATGTAAAAGTTTCATGATTGGTTCTAAAGTCCATGTTATCCGGCTGTAGTAGTAGTATTTTATTTAACATCGAACAACTCAACAGTGTTGACACACAAATTCAAAGAGCGCCGATGAGGCAAAAAGGAAAAAAGAAAAGTTAAAAGATGAAGCTATAGACAATGTGAAGACCCAGTAAAGGTGAAGAAAGATAATGAAGAACATACAGTGAGTATCGTTTATAAAGTGACCGGGTGTAACGATATACCGGCTATAATGATCGAACTCGCCAAAATCAAAATCAAATCACAAAAAATACAGCTAAAATATCACTATACACAATATTTAAAAAGCTTCCGTGGAGATAAAAATTACATTTTTACCACTAAGCCGATTTTGTGTAGGCAGAAAAAGAATTTGTTTACGTTGAAATTGTTTGTGAATTTAGATCAGTAGTTCTCGTTTGTGGTTGCATGGTAACTTTCTAGTGGTGAATTTATCGCATCTGTTGTCACCTGATATCGTTGAATGGTGTAATGTTTCTTTCAGCTCTCATTTTATCGCGCTAGTTAGGGTCTAAATTATTACTTGCATTGTGCGTATATATATTGAGTTAAGAGCTTTTGTTGATTTGCCAGTAATCCTCTGATGAGATGGCGACGAAAACGTTTAGGAACAAGCTTCTTTATTTACATGAAAACAAGTTTTGCTTATGGTGTTTGTACTGAGTGCGCAGCTTACTCTATTTATTGCGTTGAATACACTATATTATGGTGTTTGTACTGAGTGCGCAGCTTACTCTATTTATTGCGTTGAATACACAATATTATCGGTTATACCGATATATCGCTTATTGTGATGGGTTTCAGGAAGCAAACCATATCAAATGCACAGGAAAATATCGTATATACTGATCAAGAGTGATGATCACAAAACAATTGTTCTTCAAATTTAGTTCATTTCTTCCGAAACTGATCCAGTGTTGCCTGGATGCATCTGGCAGCAGACGTGATTGAGAGAAAGTTCTTCCCTGTATGCTGTACGCAGCCACATGTACACATGGCTGCTTTTCATGCTTTTTCCAGCGTGTACGCATCATTTCATGCACAGTCATGTGCCATGTGTCAGTCATACATGCAAATCGGCTATAGTGATGCACCGGATATAGTGATAAATTATCGAAAATCAAAGGGGCACGTTATATCCACTATTTACTGTACATGGAGTGTGACTTGCACCAAGGAAAAAGAAGTCAATAAGGATATACAACGTTCACTACACATTCTTCTAATTTTGTTTTGATTGCTTCCATCCACAGGAGTGGATGTCTTTTTTTGGTAGGGGATAGTGTTGTACATGTGCCAGCACATGTTGTCTCTTTGTCGTATCTGCTGCTGTATTTGTGTCTCTGTGTGTACATGTAGCTGCACGTGCTGTCTCTTTGTCGTATCTGCTGCTGTATTTGTGTCTCTGTGCTGTTGACCCGTACATGCTGCTGCGCTGCTTTGTTGCTGACACGTGCACCATTTAGTGCTGAGTACACCACTTTTTGTGCTGACGAGGGCACCAATTTCTGATATCATGTTTCCTTTTGCCATGTCAGTCGTTCGTTGTCAGAGTCAGTCGTTCGTTGACAGTTGTCAGTCGTTGGTTGTCAATGGTATTGGTTAGTTATGAGTTCTTCCGTCGCCGCTTGAAGTAAAGTCTAAGAAAAGCTCTCTCTCTAGCTCTAGAGAAAAACCACTTGACTAGTCCGTTTGATGTGTGGCGTGGCGAGGGTAACGTAGAAGAGGCAGCTCGTTCTCCTTCCGAGACGACACATTGGTGACGTGGCCAAAAAGGAAGTTAAGAAAGCGGTTGAACTGCATTGGGTCCTTCAAAAAGTTGTTGAATTTCTGCATGAAATCCTGAGTGTGTGAAGAACTGCGGAGTTCAGAGGGTAGTGCATTGAAGAACAATGCAGCACGGTTAGAAAAAGAATTGACACCATCAGAAGTACAAAATCTGTTCACTGCAATGGATGGGGTGGTTTGGCTCCTCGTACAACGGGCAGCACGAGGCTTAGGGAAGAGGGAGGAGAGCGAAGGTAGAGGGTGAGAGACAAAATGCGATGTAGAAATCTAGCAAAGGACATTAGCACATATTGATCAAAAGGAAACAGCGATAACCTGCATAATAATGTACCAGGGTCATCAAGGTGGTCAGCCCCACATGCTGCGCGAACAGCACGCCGAAACAGGCCGAGATAATAGATTCCGCACAATGTAATTACGTTAGTAAAAAAAACGTACCGTTACGTATTTTCCAGGGTGTTAGCCACACTTTTAAGAGCCTAACATAACTCAAAAAATCGCCCCTGCGGCTTAGACTCCGAATGCTGGCCATGAATCGACCAGTGATACAGCGTGCCATGCAGAGTATGCACGTATGGTGTCATTCAACTACTTTCAGGTGTTTTTCATGCACAGAAATCCATCCCTGCACAGGCATGATCCTTCTATGTTGTCAGTTCAGAGTGAGGGATAAACAAAGAAACTTTGGCTGGAACGTCAGCCGTGCTTTTCAACGTGTTGACCCTTGTTAAATGCCGCGTATGAGTGTACTAGTACCCATCAAGTTTGGATGGCCAAAAATTCAAAATATGACGTGCGGCTTATAGTCCTAATGTCAGAACGAGAGAGCTTGGAAGCTCAGGGCCCTACGCTCTGCTTTTTTTGCCTTGATGACCTATACAAAAAAAGCATAGGGATGTTATAAATGCTTATACATTTCTCCTTTTTTTAAGACATAACCTGGGATTCGAACCCGTACTATCGCGCGCCCTGCATGCATCCCCCGATACACTTCGCATACATACTAATTCTTCCAAGTTGTTTCACGTTATGATCTTGCATTTGAAAGCCCTATTTTAAATATGCATTGTGGCCAACCCGTTACTTCTGGAGTCCCCCAGGGTTCAATCCTTGGGCCACTGCTATTTCTCCTGTATATTAATGACCTCCCCGATATTGCCCCTGGTGTCAGCCTTTTCGCTGACGACACAGCCCTGCTTTGCTCCAATGCTTGCCCTATACGCCTGCACGAAGCCATGCAAGATAGCATTGGGAAAGTTATAACCTGGATGCATGATTGGAAGTTGCAGCCAAACGTTGATAAAACGGCAGCTATGTTCATTTCCCCTTCTCCCCCTTCCCTGCCACTTTGTTTTCCTTCTTCAAGTTTTGCTATTCATATTGTTGAAGAGCATAAGCATCTTGGCGTTATTATTGACTCTAAATTGTCGTGGTCACCCCATGTGCAGTATGTCTGCAAGCGCACAAGCTCCATCCTTGGGGCTCTTCAAGCCCACTGTAGACATCTTCCTCTTTCTTGCAAACGCTTGTTTTATCGTTGCTATATATTGCCCTTACTTGACTACTGTGATACTGCTTGGTGTGGCATAACTACTACTGTATTGAACAAGCTAGAAACCCATAACCGCATGCTCCTTAAAATCTTATTTAGCAAAGATCGTCGCTTTCCCTCCGCTAGTCTTTACGAAATTGCCAAGATCAGTCCCCTTTCCACTCGACATAAGTACCACCTCTGTGTTCTCATACATAAAATATTACTAAATAAAATACCCTTGCATATGCAGGCTTATAATTGGTTCTCCGAAACACGGAATACCCGGAACTCACTCAGTCTCCCACGCGCTGCCTCCACCCTATTCACTAGATCCCCGATCTTTGCTGGCTATGTGTTTTGGGCAACATTACCAACGCAGGCCAAGACCAGCACGTCGATGGATAATTTTGTTGCTAAAATCTCTGCTCAATTATAGGTTTCATGTATATCCTGCTGGTTTGTCTCCTCCTTTGCCTTCTTTGCCTCTTATTTGTATTCTTTTATCTGTTTTACTGCTGTGGTTGGCTTTCACCCTTGTCTCAGTTTTATTGGCCGTCGTCATGATGTGCCATGAGATAATGATATAAATACAAATACAGCCGTCTTTGATGGTACCGTACGGTACGGGATAGGTACGGGACAGGTACGGTCGAGGGTAATACGACACCGTCTACCGCCTTGATGACGGCAAAAAAAGCATAGGAATGCAAATTTTTCAATTCTCCTATTTTTTTTTCAGGCATATCCTGGGATTCGAACCCGCACTATCGCCCTACATGCATTCCCCGATACACTTCGCATTCATACCCATTCTTCCAAGTTGCTTCACATTATGATCTTGCGTTTGAAAGCCCCATTTGAATATTGCGGCCAGCTGTATGTGGCCAGCTGTGTTTGATGGTACGGTACGGTACGGGACAGATACGGGATAGCGCCAGGCGTGACACAAACACACCAACAAACACACAATACCAAATTAAAGCTGTGTGGACCCTGGCTAGCGCCAGACGTCACTGAAGTAACGTCTTCTGCATAGCTACGGGAATAAATACGAATTTTGGGCCCGAAGGGGAGGGGGGGGGGGGGTGGGGGTGGGGCTCAGACCTCGGTGTGGCTAACACACTGGAAAGGAAAATACGCTGGTCAATCTACAGAAAGTCATACGTACACTGCATGTGGATCCATGTTCCGCCATACAACGTTTTTGAATCACATAGCTGCCCTTGACAACTCTGAACGCGTCAGTGTAAGACCTGGGGAGAGAGTCATTCGTACCCCAATCCACTTACGGAGCACCTCCGATAGTAGAGTTCTACTTACCTACTCTACGTAGACAACTTTCTGTAGTGGCGTGCAAACTTGCCAATTCACCGGATTTCCCACCCACTTACGCCAAGTTAGTTGCTCGACTTTACGTAGTGCGGAACCTGTCTAGTGCATTAAAAAAATGACGTTTGAAACCACTGTACAATTTGACACAACGGCTTACAAAGGTTTTAGGCTTGAGGCATTAACAGCAGCAGCCCAAACAAACAAAACGAAGGAATGTCAGCACCAACGTAGCTGCAAACCTCACCAGTGACAGAAGAGAGCAGGGAATTCAGTGCAATGTTAATCTAGCGGCCATATGAAAAAAAGCACAACCCTTGGGAAAAAACGTTAGCTTACCCTTGATGACCGCAAACACTAGTCTATAACCCCCAGACCCCACAGAGTGAGCAAGTCTGCATTGGGTCGTGTGCATAGAGACCTACAATTCCCATGAACTTCAACAGTAAATGAGATTTGAACATCTTAATCCTTTGAGGACGAAGGACGAATATATCCGTTTTTTAAGGTATAGCTGGATTCCAAAAGACGAGTATATCCGTTTTTGAGAAAATTGCGATATCTGGATATTTTTAGGTGCTTGAAGTCGCTCATATCTTGCTCAGATGAGTACGATCTGATTCTTCGTCAAGGTGAGACATGTCGCAGTCGATCCGCGTCGGTCCTGTGGAGAACCGGCCACATTTGAGTACACTCAGAGAATGCGCCGATCGAAAAATTATTTGGAATTTGAAACTAACTTGTTACTTTGTTGAGAGTGCCGATGGCACGTAACGTGTCAAGTGTCTCCTTGTCTGAGGCCCTCGGCATTATCTTTATGAGCAGCGATAGTGAGGATGAACAGTGTGATCCGTTTTTGTTGCCCACTGATGTCAATGTCTCTTTAGAATCAAACTCTCGGACACTATATCAATTTTGAAAATCCCTATTTTTGGAGAAAATCGCAACCTACACCTATTTTGAATAGACCATTCTGACCTCTATAATGGATATATGACTAAATGGATTACGATGTAGAAAACTTGGTTTTTCTTGTCTACTTGTCTATGTCTCTTTAGAACCAAATTTTATGACACTAGATCAATTTTGAGAATACCGATTTTTCGCCTGAAAATGGTAGGAATCCAGGTGGTTTTGGGTAGTCCTCAAAGGGTTAAAACGGATGGACAGGCCATACATTTATCGAGCACGGGTGATCGATAAATTAAACAATTTCTAACGATCGTAACTTGGTCAACTCTCAGTCGTTTGGGAAATTGAAATACCGTACTCGCGCGATTAGAGCCCCCTCTTGAATAGTGCTCCAGTCTTTAAGAGCCAGTGAATAGAACCGAATCTACTATAAACTTTTCTAATTGTCCGCAAACTCCAGCGCAGCCACTTACACATTTAGACTTCACTTCTCAACTCCAAAAACAGTCTCTTCACTGCGATTCGAACCAAAATTAAAATTAACAGTAATGTACCGTATTTTCCGGGGTATAAGCCGCACCGGGGTATAAGCCGCACCCCCCTTTTTGAGGCAAAATATTGACTAAAAGTTGGTATTCGGAGTATAAGCCGCACCCACAAACCAAGATTTTTCAGACTCATTGACAAATGGCCTTTCTACAAATTTATTATGGTTATGGAGCTAAATACCATGTTAGATCAGATTATGAAGTGTTAGTGCACCACAGGTTGCTGCAGAGATGTTAGTGTATTGCTGTGTTGACTACAGATCACTCCATGTCATCTGCACTATCTTCAGTCTCGCTGCCATTGATGTTGATCAGCAACACAGGCGCGAAGCTGAGTCGAATGACATGTCACATGACGTCAGCATGCATACTGATGTATGCTAAGCATTCATTCGCGCAAGCATATTCGGTGTATAAGCCGCAGGGGCGATTTTGGTCCGATTTTTAGCGAAAAAAAGTGCGGCTTATACCCCGGAAAGTACGGTACTAGGAAATTAGAGGCCTTTGAAATTCTCCGTGAAGTCCAAATTTGAAATAGTAATGTAGTACAAGTACTATACTAAAATTAATTATATCAACACCCAACAGGCATACTTACTTTGGCATTTTTGCGGTCGATCCCACCTCCTGTGGTCTCAAACAACTCGCACATCAGTTCCAGAGAGTGTTCGTCTCCAGCCGCCAGCAGCTTCCTCAAGCACCAGTAGATAACGGTCTTAGTCAAGAACCTCAGCATGAACAGCTGCCCAATGAATTTAATGTTGCCGAGTGAGTTCTTCTTGAGTACGCTGACCTCACTTTCGTACTCCGCAGTCTTCTGTTTCAGGTCTTCACTCTGCATACCATCAAAACAAAACAAAATGTCAGACAACAGAAAATTGGAACAACAAGAAATGGCATGGGAGCAGGAAGTTCTCCGATACGAGTCACGTCACAACACATGAAATGCAACACTTCATGCTAGACTAGAACTGGTGTCACTGTACTCAAAGCTCTGAAAATTCACCGAATATTCTAGAACTATTCTCTTGGAGAACAATTCGAAGTTTTGGAAATGAATACTGTGTATTTTGGTTTTAAACATTCCGGCATGTGCATATGCCAGTACTACTGCAGACAAGTACCAGATGTGTGTGCATGTGAAAGTTTGCAATACGAGCATTATGAGCGCAAGTCACACCTTGCGTGCAGAAATTTTCGGTACAGAGAAGGAGTTCCCTGTTGGATTATGTGTGTTAGTGTTTGTTCGGTGTATTGGAATTTTAGGTATGAAACAGATACACCGAAAGTACCGGAAAAAGTATAAAAACTCGGTGGTTGAGCCAATAGTAAGGCTACACGTTTTTATTTCTATGTTCCTCGTCACACGTGCGCATACGATCCAGGAGACTGGAGGGAAAAAACCCTGTGCTGCACTGTGGGGACAAGCACATGCACATGTGCACCCTGGCCTGGCCTGGCCTGGCCTGGCCTGGCGTGAGCGATACATGATGCGATGTCGCTAGCGTCATATGCCGGACTGACTTACCATGTACCGTGACTCAAGGTGCAACTTTCCGCACCCAAGCCTTCCAAGTTGGAAGGTTGTTGGTTTGCACTGCGTAGATGTGTGGAAAACTAGTTGTCAGGTCGTCGAATGTCTCAATATCCTGGTCAGTTTTTGCCTTGTTATCGCACTACCTGGCTGTATATGATCTCGTTACCTTGTAGACTGTTAATCATAACTAGTTATAAAAGAACATTTGTGAAATTATAGTATTCGTTTCACCCCTACTGAAAATTCCCCTAAGGCCGATTCGCAATACAACTTTCTGCTACGCGACACGCGATTTGCGACAAGAAACTGCCTGTCGCGAGCTGTCGCAAGCTGGCGCAAGCTGTCGCAGAAGTTGAAGAAAGTTCAACTTTTGCGACACGGGACATACACAAATGGAGTACAATTTCTACCCTGGGTGCACGTGCAGTGCACGTGCATAGTACTACTAGTGCATAAGGATGTCGCAAACATGAACAAGATTGTGAACCGTGTGTCGCTGTCGCAACTCGTCGCAGGTGTCGCAAGTCGCATGTCGCAAGAAATTGTATTGTGAGCCGGCCTTTCCTTCTCCTCCTCCCACCGACGGTCAAATTCTCCAATAGCATGAGGCATTCACAGTGAAAACCAGCCCTTGTCAAACATAGGCACCGCATTGTAAATTTCAGAGTTATGGAATTACGGCAAGGATACTGTAAACCGCCCAGTATTCGCATCAATAACTTTTTGCGATTTCTTAGAACCAGCGAGTTTGCGATGGCAAAAGTTCGCGAAGCACTGGGGCCACTTACATACACCCACTGTTGAAGTTTGATTTCACGCTGGTTAATATTGGCGATACGCTCTTCTTGCAAAAGTAGCGAACACTAATCCACCGCGAATATTAGGCAGTTTACAGTATCCAATCTGTGGAGTTGCTGGCCTAACCCAAATCATCAAGCCAAGACATGGGTTAGGACTGGAGTCTATCCTTTTGTTACGAAACTGCGCATGCAAAAGGTAGACTCGAAAATGTTCTGTCGCCCATACTACTGAGAGAAGTTCTTGTTGAGTTGTACTGTAATTTCGTTCCGGGTCCGATAAGCTACGACTGGCAAAAGCAATGGGTCGTTCTACACCATCGTCATCAAGCTGTGAAAGAACTGTGCCAAGTCCGGAATTCGATGCGTCAGTGTCTAAAATAAAAGGACGGTTCCAGTTCGGATACGGCAAAACAGGTGCAGTTGCAAGTTCGGATCTCAGTTTCATAAATGCGTCCAACTGTTCTTTACCCCACCGAGAAACTTGACCCTTCTTGGACAATTTCGTCATACCCGAGCAAAGTTACGAATGAAGCGGCGATAATAGTTTGCAAAACCCACAAACCCCTGTACATGTTTGATTGTCTTCGGCATCGGCCACTCAGAAACTTGATCGACTTTCTTTGCACTTGGTGTAACCCCTTTTTCTGAAATACAATGTCCCAGAAAAGAAACATCCGTACGCAGCAAATTGCATTTCCTAGGTTTAATCTTAAGACCTGCGCTCTCGAGAGCTTTCAAAACAGCTAAAAGATTTTCTGCATGCTCTTCTCGTGTGCGACCAAAAACAATGATGTCGTCGAGATAGATTAAACACTTAACATACAAAAGACCTTTAAGAACCGTATACATTAATCGCTGAAACGTGGCGGGTGCGTTAGTGAGTCCGAAAGGCATTCTGCGAAGCTGGTAGAGACCGTGTGGCGTGACGAAAGCAGTTTTTCTCGATCTTCGGGCGCTACCAAAACTTGCCAATAACCAGATTGCAAATCCAAAGTCGAAAAAGTATTTTGCGCCGTGCAATGCGTCAAGCGTGTCATCGATGCGCGGTAAAGGAAAAGCGTCTTTTCGTGTTACGTTATTCAAGTTTCGATAATCAACGCAGAATCGTGTCCCACCTCCGTCCTTCTTCGCTAAAACAATTGGGCTGGCCCACGGTGAAGAACTTGGTTCGATAATTTCCTGCTCTAACATGTCATCTACTAATTTACGCGTCAGTTTCGCTTTATCCGGTGATAATCTACGGGCGTTGTGGCGGATCGGACGATTGTCAGTAAGTGTAATAGTGTGATGTATTTCGTCTGTCTTTCCAACGTCATTATCATCTACCGCAATTACTGATCACACACATGCTTAACAAAAGTCGTTGTAAATGCTTAATCGCAGCGCTATCCCCCACACAACCAGACCAATTAAACTTAAGCAAACTCTTATCTTCTATCGGAACATTATCGTCAAGTTTTGGGAATAGAGGTGATGAGGAGGAGATGGTGTGTTTTGGAATTACGGAACTCTTCGAACGCAACGGAAACGATTTTCGATACGCGGTAAGTGTGTGGTCGGACTCGAATGAAATGCTCATGCCATGGCCAGTCAACGTGTTTACACCAATAATCACCTCCTCCTGTACCCCCTCCACTACCAAAGCTTTAGTCTTCACTACTGTCGAATGGTCGAATGCGATAAAAACCTGCGCGACCCCATGTACTTTAATCGAAGACCCCGTCGCACTTTGGAGTGCATCGATACCAACTGTGGACTGAGGCGCAAGTTTAGACATCGGTGCAAATGTTTCAAATACATCTTTTCGAATAACCGTGAATGCTGCCCCCGTGTCCACCAGAGCTGGTACCACTGCGCCCTTGCCTTTTTGTCGTCTGGAAATTTTTATTTGCAAATGGCAGCCTTTCATCCAACATTGACAAACGCAGTGGGCAGTTCGCGTGAACACAGGGGAAACAAGCCCCCTCACAATAGAAACCACGAACCCCAGTAAGCGTAACATTAAGGCAATGCACAAGAACGGAAATCTCATAATAATCGATGTAACAAATTTAAGGGCGTGAACAAGCATCGTAAAGAACAGGATAGAGTACGGTAATAACAGAGTGACAGTCGACTTAACAGAATTAACGGCATGGAGGAACATCGTGAATAACAGGATCGAGTACGGCAGTAACAAAGTGAAAGGTTTAAATGTTGAGGCAAATGTGTTCGTATCGGTGGTGATTTTCGATATCGGAGTCGAAGTGGTTGGCAGCCTCTCGTCAGCCACTAAAAGCGGTTTAAAGAATTACGTGAGTCCGAGCGGTCGCCAAAATGTTGTGAGTTTTGGGAACGCTTTTTGGTGAAACAGTCACGTTCAATGTGTCCTCGACGCTGGCAAAAGAAACAAACAGGCGGTTCGCGGAAACCAATTCTACGATCGGATCTACGATCCCCCATTTGGCTACGCGATTCCGAGCTGTGCGGACGTTTTAATTCTCGACGCTCAGGCGAAGGTGAGCGAGGTCGACTACTCGCCGGTCTCTGGTGTTCCAACAAAATTTTGCTAACACGCTCAGCTACACGCTCAACAAGTTCGTCTTCGTCAAAAGTTTTCGGTGGTGCGCGTACTTGAGAAACAGATGCAAATTCTGCGGCCGCAGCTGCGAGGACCGTACTCGACTTCTGTCAGTTTGTTTCCACTACCAGGGCTCTACGCTGCGCTGCGTCTAGTGTCTGCGGATCGAAATCAATTACTTTATCTTTAATGGGCGGATCTAAAGCATCAATAAACGCTTCTTTTGCGATGTCGCCGATTACTTCCGACGTCGCAGAAGGATATGCGCGCGCAGTCATTAGTCTTATATCGGTGGCGAGTTTTACCAAACATTTGTTTGGGGATCGTCTACGATGGCGCAATTTGACTCGAAACAAAGACGAGTTCTCTTTTGGCAAAAAATGATCAATCAACACAGTTCTCAATTGTACATAATCTTCGACTATCGATTTATCGCAAGCCAACAAAAATCTCGATGCTTCTTTCCTCAAAGACTTGCGCAAAAATCGGTACCTCAGTGCATCGCGATCATTAATCAAAAGTCTCGACGACAGGTGAGCTACAACTTTGATCAAAATCGGCATCTAACAAATTTTCGCAGTGCTCGACAGGTGGAAAACCATACGCCTCACAAGCCGAATCAAACTCTAAAAAGAATACCTCGATATCTTCGTCAGGCGCGCCAGAAAACACAGGAAAACTACCAGCAGGTATGCGACATGGATCAACAGTGTTCAGGTGATTCTACTCTCTCATGCATTCAGTGTTATAATTACTATCCAGCTCTGTCCGACTTGTGTTCAGTTGCCTGCATGCTCCAGTTTGTGTTTGTCTAGGATCTGCTGTGTGCGTTTCATCTCTCTGTTATGTCGGTAGTGATCTTGTGTCTTGGTGCCTGAGGCGCGCTTGCTGTCACGCATTCATGTATTCATGCTCTGATGTCTAGACTTTCACTTTGC